GCCCTGCCTGTTTAACTTATATGCAGAGCATATCATGAGAAAGGCAGGGCGACAATATACAACCTTGCCAAACTCCTTTCCCAGTTTTGAACCCATCAGTGGTTCCATGTCCAGTTTTCACTGTTGCTTCTTGACCCGCATACAGGTTTCTCAAGAGACAAATAAGATGGTCTGGGACTCCCATCTCTTTAAGAACTTGCCACAATTTGTTGTGATCCACACAATCAAAGGCTTTAGCATAGCCAATGAAGCAGAAATAGATGTTTTCTGGAACTCCCTAGCTTTCTCCATGATCGAGCGTACATTGGCAATTTGATCTCTAGTTCCTTTATACAATTTAAACATATTGAAGCTTCATAGAAGTTAGCAATAGAAAATGTAAAACGAAATAAAAACAGAAAAAACAACATATGTTGAAAAGGCCCTGTCAAACAACCAGCAGGCTCCAATGGCTAATTAAATGCCCTGCAATAGAGGATGGTCTTTACCTGGTGCCAAAAAGAAAGAAGCTTGGTGCCAGGCAGGCCTCAGTGGGGAGCCATCACATAAGTAGGGGGCCAATACTGAGAGGCTGTTCTCTGAGCCTCCCTTGGAGGTGGCGATTGGAGAAAGCCCCCAGAACTCGATTGTAGCATCTGGAGAGAGAGAATTTGAGACTGGGTAATAAAACTGTTGAGTGTAGATAAACACCTGAAATTTGGGAGTGCACCGCCATCAGTGGGCTGATGACCGATTTCTTTGCATCTCTTTGCACGAGAGGGAGGGTGCTCAAACTTTTCTGGATGACATTGCACTTCATGACTTAGGGGGCTTCCAGGAGCCACCTTCATCACTTGAGATGTCCTCTGTGGCATGGAATGCTTTCGCAGCAGCTTTGCCCAGACGCCCAGCTTCTCTCCTAGCAGGACAGGGATAAAGGTGGCTTCAGTCGTCCACTCTGCTAACTACCAAGTTAGATGACTGCAATGCCCTCTACATGAGGCTGCCTTGAAAAATGATACAGGAGCTGCAGCTCATGCAAAATTTGGTGGTTTGATAACGGGCAAGAAGGTCAAACATGTAACACCAATTTTGGCCAGCTTGCACTAGCTGTCTGTACATTTCTGAGCCCAAATCAGCTCAGAACTGCAGTACCCAATAGACCAACTCTCCGGATATGAACATACTCATACACTATGTCCATCATGGAGGAAGGCTCAGAAAGAGGCAATGGCCTTCTCAGTGGGAGCATCCCAATTCTGCACACCCATTTTGTTATTTATTTATTACATTTCTACCTCACTAGCCAGGAAGATTCTCGTGGTGGCATACAAAATATAATAGGAACAACATACACAACAAAACAACATTAAATTAGACATATGTACTATAGCAGTAAAATAACAGCAATAAAACACAGTAAAGCCCACAATAAAACCTCACAACAACCATGATTCAATTAAACCAAAGGCACAGTAGCACTAAGATAGAGAGTAATACCATATAAATCTCTTAAAAATTACTTTCTGAAAATATTGGGTGAATAAAAGGTGCCAAAATTTGTAGAGAGAGGATATCAGGTGGACCTCTTTGAGGAACTGGTTTCAGAGTCAGGGTGCCACCTGACATTTTGGTACCAATTTATTTAAAATATTTTAATCAAGGTATGCTGACATGTATTTTAATCCATAAATTTATTTAAATTTATTACATTATATTAAATTTATTTTAAAGTTCTTCTAGAAAAAAAACCGCCTAAAAACCCTGAGAAGTTCCCTAATCAGACAGTAGGATTAGCAATCTATAGTTTTATGTCTATGTTCCGCTTCTCCCTCCTCACCTAACTCTAGCCGACCCCTCCCGCCCAGAATCCCATTGCCCTAACTTAGTAAAACCCCGCGGCCGTGGCTTCGGCGCGGACTCTTTGCGTCACCATCGCGCGCGGCAGGGCAGGAAGCAAAAGCGGCCATTGTTGTTGTTCCAGCACAGCGATCGGCGGCGTTTGTTCACCGCGCAGCTTGGATCATGCCGGCAGGGAAGGCTTTTCGTCGAAGGAAAGTGGACTCCGAGGACGAGGAGGAGGACGAGCAGGTCGCTGAGGAAGTTCGGTGGGTGCGTGGGGGGCATGCCCCTCTTTTTAAGTACTGGGGTGTTGGAGATTGCACACAGAGTAGACGCACCCTTGAGCCCAGCAGGGCTCTTCGGTACTTGTGCAGGATCAGACTTAGGGGCGGTTTTGTCCCGCTGTTCACACGGTGGCCAGCCAGGTGCCTGTGTGGGAAGCCCACAAGTAAGTCATGCCCGCGCCCCATATACCGCCACAACTGGCGCTTTTACGGTGCAGTCTTATGCATGTCTAGGCAGAAGCAAGTCCTACAGTTCCCAACAAAATCCTGGGAATTCGGATTTTTTCTACGTATACACAGGAATACACCCTTACTGCGCATGGGTCACCTGGACTGTGGCTAATTCCCTTCTGAAGCCATCCAGATTGGTGGTTGTCGCTACATTTTGTAGCAACACAGTTAAATTTCCATAGCTCAGTTTTGTGTGAAGAAGGCCTTCCTTTCTCTGTCCTGAGTCTCCTACTAGTCAGTTTCATGGGATGACTTGCTTGGTCTAGTATTAAAAAAGAGGGAGGAAAATGCCCCCCCGTTGCCTTGTGTGCTGTGTCTTTTTTGCTTGATTGCAGAAATGCGATGGGGAGAGAAAGGGAAAATGAAGCACAGCTGCAGGGCAGGGCTGGTGGGATGGCTTCTCTTCTCATATCCCAGGAGCAGAGGGATAGCTCTACTGGAGCAGGCCCTGATGTTCACTTGACTTGCTCTTGTCTCCCTTCCACTATCTTCTTTCCCACAGAGCCACTAATATCTTAAAACTATTCTGTTTTCCTCCCTTTCCCTCTCCAGATTAAAACTGGAGGAAGCAAAAGAAGTGCAGAATCTCAGGAGGAGACCAAATGGAGTGAGGTAAGTGATACTGGGTAAGAACCTCAAAGTTCCTCACATGTTCCCATGTAAGCTTGAACGTTGTGATGTGGGTGGAATGCTGGCTTCCCCAGAATCACAGGATTTCTTTTGAACAGTTTCTAGCATTCTTGCTGGGTAAGAGTAATTTGAGTAGCATTCATAGAAATTGCTGTGAGTTCAGGGCAGGTTCTAGGCTTGAGGAAGCAAAGCAAACAGAAAATATGTTTAGTGTCTTGCTGACAGGCTTCTGAAGAAAATAGGCCTTCTTCTGGCTTGACTTGAGTTTCTCTTCTTTCTCTGTGTTTTTTCCTGAGTGCTGCTGCTCTGCTTGTGGGAGAGAAATTACAAGAAGAGACAACATTGGTGGTAAGTTCAGGAAAGCCGGATACCAGAAGTTACTTATTTTACCCATACCCTCTTTCTTATTTTCCCTCTCGATGTGTCAAGTAAATTAATGTTTAGGCCTGATTAATTTGCACAAATGTCTGCTTCAGCAGAAATTATGGAATCAAGCTAGCCTTGACGGATGGGTTTGGTACTTGTTGGACATACAACTATGGAATTAATTTCCACAAGAAGTTGTGTTGGCTACTGAATGGGATGGCTTTTAAAGGGGACAGGACCAGTGCTCAGAGGAGAAGTGACTACAAATACTGGTATTACTTATACATATACGCAGTATGCCTGTGCCCACCAGTTGTTGGGGAACATGGGCTGGAGGGTGCTGTGGCATTCTGGTCCTCCTTGTGGGTTTCTCGTGGATGGCTGGTTGGCCACTCTGTGAACAGAATGCTGGACTAGGTGGCCCAGGAGTCTGGTCCAGCGCAGCTCGTAAGTTCTTAATACATTTATTTGAAGCTTGTTTAGGTCTGACTGTTTTTGTCTCTGAATCTGATGGGTTTTACTCAAAATCCAGGTCACGTTTGTCCACAGACGCCACAGGAAAGGCAGTAGGGACATGGAATAGCCTCTTATGCCATGCGGCGTTCCAGGCTGCTCACTGCCTTAGGAGGCGGATGGCCGTCACTGGCAGAGCGGTGGACTGCAGTCCCGGATTTGACTCTTCGTGTCTCATGAAACCCACACAGCGGGGGACCCGCAGTGCCCACAAACCGCTCTCAGAGGCTGACAAGCATCAGTGCAGAGCGGGAGAAGTTGTGGAGGTGTCTTTGCCCCCTTGCACCTTCTGTGCTGCATCCTAGCTAGGCAGCTCCCTGAGGCACTTCAGAAGTGGGGGTGGCTGCAGGGGACCCAGGAAACCTTGTACCTTGGCCACTGTGGTCTCCTCCTCTCCCGCCCTCCCTGCTCCCTCTACCCCATCGGCTTCCCTTTTGAGCTTCAGGGAGGTCTGTTCCTTGGCAGCTCTGAGGGGCAGACAGGCAGGGGTGCAGCGCATAGATCCCCATCTCCAAGGCCAGCGTGTTGCCTCCAGACTCAGAACTTGAAGGCTGAAATATGCAGGGGCCCACAAGAGCCTGCTCCCTCCTAGGCCCTTCTCAGAAAAAGACTCAAGGTCCGTTAGAGCCAGGACTGAAAGCATGCAAGAGTTTAAAACAGTGAAAGCAAAGCATGAAATACGAAAGAGTGTGTGGCATTCTGTCAGATGCCCGGGCACAGAGGAAGGCAACAGTGTGGGCACCAACTGGGCCCCAGAAATCAGGGACCCGCCATCTCTTTCTTTCTGGTTGGTGTCTTCCGAACTTCTTTCAGGAGGAACTCCTGGAAGGGGCCTCAGAGTATATCGCAGGGTGCAGGTACCAGGAGCCGCTCCCCACAGGGAGCTTTCCCACGCTGTTGCATTGCTCCCTCCATCCGCTAAATTATGGGTACCTGTTGATCTGGCTTATGATGGGTGGCAAAAGACAGGAAAGGGTTCCGGTATCGCAGTTTTATTCAGCCGTACGCACAGTGGAGAACTCCCAAGCATGCTTCCCGTGCCAGCTTTGATGCCTTGGTCACTCGTCACTCTAGCCCAGGGGTCCTCAAACTTTTCGAACAGGGGGCCAGTTGAAAGGTGCCAGCGATGGGCGCAGGCCACCAAGGCAGTGTGGGCAGGTGGCGCAGGCCAGGCTTGGGGGTGCTGCATGTGCAGAGATCCTTTTCCTTGAGCGAGTCCAAAACGCTCTCCTTGCGAACAAGCCGGCACCTCACCACGCATGTGTGGCGAGCTATGGCAGGCCAGATAAATGGGCATGGTGGGCCAGATCCAGCCCGCAGGCCGCAGTTTGAGGACCCGTGCTCTAGCCAGTTCCCTGTGGTCAAAAGAGGTGCTGAGCACCTTTGCAACGAAGAATGTGACAGCCGTTTCCCCCGCTTCCCCATCAGGATGACCCCTTCAAGATAAAGACTGGCGGAATGGTAGACATGAAGAAATTGAAAGAACGAGGCAAGGACAGGTGGGTGCGATGCCACAAAATCCCTCTATCACAACCCAGCTCTATCCTTTTATGCCAATTTTAGTGTTTTTAATTGTTTTAATAATTCTAATACTCTTAAATAATTATCTTTTTAACATCAATATCTTTCTATGACTGTTTTAATTGTATAAGTTTTTATAGAGTTGGCCTATACCTCCTTCATCAAAGGTTGTGGCTCTCCATATGTTTGGCCCATGGATTTCCCACCCCCGTTCTAAAGCTACAAGAGCCCGGGAGCCGATTCGTAATTCCCGCGTGCCTGCGTTCACCCTGCTTTGCCCTTGCCTCCGCGGCCTCCTCTCTCACGCTTGCTACCTGCTTGGCTCCTCCTCCCGTCCCTCGTTTTGTTTTCTCTGCTGTTGAAATGCAGCTTGTAAGCTCCTTGGAGCAGAGACCTTGCATACTGTTTGGAGAAAGCGAGCGAGTGCACATGCGTGCATGGGCGCATGTACACAGCACGGTAAATGTTAATGCTCAGGAAATCTGCCATGGATATTGATGAAACTAAGAAGTTCAAAGCTTTTTAACTTGAGCCATTTAGAGAAATGTGTGAAGCAGTTTGCTATCCGCCTAATCCTATGTGTATTTTCTTGGAAGCACAATCACATCAAATACTGTAGATCGTACCCCGCAGGTACGAGTGCAAAAGGGCTCAGCCCAGACGAGTTCTGCTGTTGTAAGTCTGTTGATATTAATTTAAGATCGGGGGTTGAACTTCTTTCAGGCCAAAAGCAAGAATCATTTTCTGAGCAGCTCTCGGGGGACGAAGAAGAGGCCTTCCAGGGACGGGGTGGCCAAAGGCCAAAGGAGCAGGACCAGACCCACCAAATTTTTTCACTGGAAGCTCTTACCACCAATAACTAAGCCTTAGGAGAAATGTTTCCTTTGTAGTGGGGTGGGGGCGGGATGCGCTAAAAGCTGGGAAGCTGCCTGATGATTGGCAGGCCGTGGGAAGGCCTAAATCCCCCCTCCTAATATAGGGGTGTCTTTCTGTGTTTGTCTCCTGCACAGGATCAGTGAGGAGGAGGACCTCAACCTCGGAACCTCTTTTTCGGCCGAGACCAACAGGAGGGACGAAGATGCGGACATGTGAGCCATTGCTGCGCTCCAGCGGGGGCTCCTTTTGCACGCAAGCAAGGTCCCTCCCACCCCCTGATGTTGAGAAAAAAAAGAAGCTCCAAGTTAGACCAAATGCTTCCCACAGGCCCCGGCTGGTTTTTTCATCTTACTTAAGACCATTCGGTATCTTCCATGGAATCCATGGAATCCAAAGCAGTTTCCCATGTTAAGCTACAAAAACATGATTATTGGGAAACATCAGAACATGGCTGTCTCAGACGTTCGGTGGTCCCTTCAAGACCTGGTGGCCCATCTGCCCCGCCTGGCCTGCCGCCTTCCGTGGGGCACACGGGACTTAGAACTCCCCGGAAGGCTGGGGAGGGGCTGCCCCAGAGTAGATACCTTCAGGAAGCCCTCAAGCTGGCCATGGAAACCGCAGCCTTTTCCCATTGCCCTTCAAGCCCCAACCAGCAACTGGAGTTAGAGCAAGCCACCAGCCTTTGCACAAGGGACCCGGTCCGCATGTTCAGATCCCTCCTGGCCTGTTAACCATGGGCTATTTGTGAGTGTGAGGGGGCAAGTGAGCGTGCTGATTGGTTCCTGCTGAATCATCTGCTTCCTCTTTTCCCGTCTCTGGGCAGTTTTGTGATGATGTACTTGGAAAATCTGGGCTCTTTAGGGGTTAAGCAACACAGAGTAACAACACGGTCTGTTGTTGGGTTTCTCCACTAAAGAATCAATAGTTTCCAGATTCCCACATCAGGAAATGACTTGGGGAGAGAAAATAGTCAACAATGGGAAGAAATTAAATATGGAAAATAATTGCAAGGTAACACTGGCCATTCACAAAGAGTTGTAGCTGACGGTATAACCATTCTCACCCTAAATAAGCTAATTAACATACTTATGGCAATTTTGTTTTTAAAAAACCCTAATTCCTGATGTAGGGGACTCAGTTGAACCTCCTTTAGTTGGGCTTGCCTGAGCTAGGAAGCTCATCTCCCGTTCCCAGCCATGGGGAGACGTTTATGTTTTGGGGGCTGCAAAAAAAAAAAGAGTCGAAGATCCCGCTGCAGCAACGGCCTTCCAAAAGGAGACTCCCGCTCGCAGATGAGCTGGGCTGCGGTTCCCTTGGTGTGACGTGTTGGCTTTCTCTTCAGGATGAAATATATTGAAACCGAACTGAAGAAGAGGAAGGGGATTGTGGAAAATGAGGAGCAGAAAGTGAAGCAGAAGAACGCAGAGGACTGTCTGTACGAACTCCCTGAGAGCATCCGAGTCTCGTCAGCCAAGAAGACCGAGGAGATGCTGTCCAATCAGATGCTGAACGGCATTCCCGAGGTGGACCTTGGGATTGAGTAGGTGGCTTAGGGAGTTCGTTTCTTCACCAGCCTGTCTTCCATCTGGCTGAGAAAGCGGTGATGTTCCAAGATGTGAGCGCCTGGGATGCTGGGAATCCAGGGGCGTGGATGTGGTAGGCAGGTGGAGTCAGCCAGGGGAAGCACAGTAGAAGGATTTGCTTCGTGGGAGGCTAGACTGAACCTGGAGCTGCCTTTTCCCTAACAGGGCAGGTGTGTGGCTCCTGTCGCCCCTGGTCCGATGATGGGCATGCAGAGAATAATTTCACACACAAAATGCCTGCTTTGAGCACTGCGTCGCCCTGAAGCTAAATGTGCTGCTACAGCTTGCGAACAGCAGCCTCTCGCTTGGTCTGCAGGAGCGCACCCCAGCCTGCCATGACTTACCCTCCTCTTCCCCAGAATGCCAGTCGCAACATCATACGGATAGTACATCACTTTTCACCCTCTTTTTTGTTGTTGTTCTAGAGCCAAGATCAAAAACATAATCTCGACCGAAGAGGCCAAGGCACGGCTGCTTGCCGAGCAGCAGAATAAAAAGAAGGACAGCGAGACCTCCTTCGTCCCCACAAACATGGCGGTGAATTATGTGCAGCACAACAGATGTGAGTTCCGGCTGCGTGTCCGGCGTGCTTGCGGGCGAGGGCCGGCCGGCGGCACGCCCACTGGCCACATGGGGCCCCCGCGCGGCATCCTGGCCTGGCGGGACTGCTCCCGCGTGGCGGTCCTTGGCTGCCTGCCCCAGCGGGGCGATGCTGCAGCGGGCGGTCCGTGCCGGAGGCGGGAGCAGGCAGGGAATGGCCACACTTCGGCGGCGGCAGCTCTGCTTTGCGGCGAAGGGTCCCAGCAGCATCTCGGGAAGGGCTAGGAAAAAACTCCGCCCAGTGCCTGGAGAGGTGCCTACTGCCAGTCAGTGTGAGCCATGTTGGACTAGAGGGGCCCAGGTCGGATGCAGCACAAGGCAAGATCCTACACTCCTAGGTAGCTTCCCCCCAGAGACACACAGCGCATGCAACACACACACACACACACACACACACACATCCTTTGCTCTGGGGCCCCTGTGTGCAGCCGAAGCGAAGGCGCGCCTGCCTCACGCCCCCCGAGAGGCGCGCTCTGTCATTGTCAGTAAATACCTCTGAGCCTTGAAATTCACAGGGCGTTCATTCCCCAGCACTGCACAGATTGAACAGCAAGGCCGGTCCTGCCCACAGGCCCACGCTCTAACAGGCACGGTGCGGAGGAAGCAGAGATGGTGGGGTGGGAGGCCGGAGGAGAACAAGCACGCTTGGACGCCAGCCTTGGAATTCCACAAGTGTTGCTGCAGTGTTCGGGTGGAACGGAGGTCATTCAGGGAGAAGGGGGGCACTGAACGGCCACTGGCATCACAGGCAAGTTACTGCAGTGCACCCGATGGCAGCAGCATTCCGCTGAGCTGGTGGTTAATGCGCTGCAGCACCGTGTTGCAGCGTATGCTTAATTTGCATCCTTTTCAGCATCAGAATGCTGCCTTGAGGACATCATTTGAACTGGAGAGGCAACGCGGAGGCCTATAAAAATGCATAAATTGTACTGAGTGTTACAAACCCTAAGAGCACCTGATCATTTTTCCTCGTGGCTCGGTTTGATGAGTGCCAATTGAATGGTGTACTTAATTAACTACCATGTAATGATTTAGGCTGTTGAAGACATAGTGCCAAGTTGCAGCCTGATGCTACGCAAATCGGCTTTTCAGGCCCTCCCAGCCTGCCTGTTTCCTCTTCCGGTGCATAGTCCCTGCTGTAAGACAAGCTATAATCTGCTGTTCACCTGAACCTGTTAAGCCATGTTTTGCACTTTCCCTACTGACTAGCATTTGAGCGCTGGTGCAAATCGTGGTTTGAGTTGAAACAAGGAAGTAACGAAAGCAAAGCTTGTGAGGGAAGGTGAAGGTAACGGCAATAATCCAAGGGTCCTTCAAAGTTCACTCACGGGTCAAACCATGAGCTTGGACCACATCTGAGCCAGCCCATTTTCTGCGTGTTGTTACGCTGTGCTAAGAGGCTGGATCGGCTGGTTTCTCTTTCTAGTTTATCATGAAGAACTGCACGCACCAGTAAGAAGAAATAAAGAAGAACCCAAAGCCCGTCCCTTGAGAGTGGGAGATACAGAGAAACCAGAACCTGAGAGTAAGTTCCTGCAATAACTTTATAGGGAATTCTGGTACATCTAAGGAAGATGCACTTGTCTTCTTCCATAATAATAATGAACTGAAAATAACTTGAAGGACATTTCATCATGATGATATGAGCCAGCAGCACAGTGTGGCAGCTGAGAAGGAGGTCATGATCTCAGGCTGGGTTAACAGAAGCATTGTGTCCAGCACAAAAGTTCCCTTCAATTTTGTGCCGGTCTCGTTGCACCATGCCTGGCTCTGGGTGCGGCATTTTATGGAGGGCTCTGACAAATGTGAGTCAGAGGACAGGGGACAGCCTGGTGAGTGATGTGGAGACATGATTGAAAGAGCAGATACGTTAGGCTGGAGACGAGAAAATGAAGGGGAGACATAACTGTCTTCAACTTTCTGAAGTACTGCCACATATACAGGGAAGCCGGACTAGAACCAGCAGTCGCCTACCTGCTCACATGCCAGCTCACCTTTGCTGAGCAGGAAAGGCAGGTGCCTGCAGCCGGATGGGTGAGCGTGTGCGGAAACGGAACGGGGGTTGGAGCTGATGGCCTCACGGGCCCCTTCCAACTCCACTGCTATTCCATTGCAGGGAAGCAGATTTCAGGGTTACGATGAGGGCCTTTTTGGATCAGCACATCTGGAATTCTGAAAGTGTGTGCACGCTCACAAAATGGCTGCCGTGGCAGGGGAGCACCTGGTTGCTGTGGTGCACATGGCTGGTAGCAAAACACTCCTTTGCCAGCAGCCAGCGCTTCTCTTCGCACCACACCATGGAATTGCCAGTTTCATCGTCGTCATTTTTTCAAAGTAGCAGTCAGGAGGGGCAGGAAAGCTTGGCGGTGCACAAGGGGAACTCGGGCAGTAGGAGAAACTTCCTGATGGTCAGGGCTCTGCAGCAGTGGAGCAGACTTCCTCAGGAGCTGGAGGCTCCTCCGCCACCAGGAGGTACTTAAGCAGGAGCTGGATGGGCAACTCTCTGGGATGCTGTTGCTGCGAGGTAGCTGTGCAGAGCAGAGCGCTGGCCTGGGTGACGGCTCGTGATTCTATGACCCAGCATCCGGATTGTCTGTACAGGTTCTGTGCAAGTCCTGTGTCGCTGTTGTGGTTAATCGATAGACCTTTGTTACCCCGACAGAGACGTACTCTGTCAAGGAAGAACAGATTTGCATTCATAGTAGCAAAGAAGAAAATACTACCACTCCTTGCAGCTGTTTTACCCTCACAGGGGAAGCTGCAGTTCCTGACCTTCCCTATGTGTTATATTAACGGATCAGCATCCTCGCCTGCCTCCAGTTGCCCGAAAGAGGGGAGGAGTTAAATCTGGCTTCTGTGGTAAAAACAGATTGCCACTGCAGAGCCCATGTTGCGGTTCCGGATGAATGGTGGATTAGGTTTGAAATGTGTCCTTGAAGCCTCGCCTCTGTCCCCTCTCTGAAGTTGATCAAAGTCTATTTTAAGCTTCCCGTTCGTTCCTTTTGTAGGCTCGCCTCAGAACCGCAAGCGTCCTCCAAATGAAAAAGCGACAGATGACTATCACTATGAGAAATTCAAGAAGATGAACAGGCGCTACTGAAGCCGGCTCGTCTGAATAACGTAGGAAAAGCGGAGCGCCCAGACATTTCCTCTTCTCATTGGCCAGAGAAAAAAGTGTAAATACATTGTGAAAGTGACAATATTCCTCATTTCTTGCAGGTACTATTTTTGCCACTAGCGTAGACCTTAGCAGAACAGTGATTGTTGGCTCTTCCTTTCCATGTTGTTATGTGTTGGTTTTTCATTTATAAAACTTTCTGTTTTAAACACAGTTGGCCTGGAGTACCTCTGGCAGGCAAATCTTTTGATCCTGTGAGCATGTTTGAAACTTGAGAAATTTTCTGGGCACCCTCACAAAAAGGCTGGCACTGTGGCTAAGTCACTGTGTGGCCGAGAGGCACGCATGGAAAACGGCAACAGTTGGAGCCCCCCGTTTGCTTTGAAGTGATCCCAGCCAATAGCAATGAAATATGTTCATTTGAAAGAAGTGGTCTGAGGAGAGCACCTTGGTGGGTCCCAAGGAACTCGCTGGGGGGTACATGGGTGCTTGCAGGCACCATGTTGCCTAACCCTGGAGTACCTCTTTGTGTGTGGGTGTGCGCATATGCACATAGTGACTCAGAAATGTGGGTAAGTCCCACTTTTGCTCCAAGTCGCTCGAGGGAACTGTACATGATCTCCCCAACCCCTTTTGATCTTTACAAGGATCTATCCCCTCTCTATCATGGCCACCCCGCCCTGCACACACCACCCCTCCTGCCACACTGGACATGGCTATGAACTGCAGAGTGCCAGAAGAGGGGAAAATGTGGCAAGGCTTACATATGAGGAACAGGCCTGCATGGACCTTCTGCAGTTCAGCAAGGGGATCTGTTTTTGTAACGGAAGAGTCTAAGAAATTACTGTGACACTGGCTCCCAAACAGACCAAACGCAGCATTGCTTTCCTCTTTGGGATTGAATCTGAGCAAAGTCTCTCCATTTAGGGTGGTAGGGTGAGCTCATCTCAAGCTAATCTTAAAGTCGGTGTCCCTAAATGGGGTATGTCTGAATACAAACACTCAGAAAAAGGCTGTGGTCCCTGAAGATGGCTCCACATCAGTAGAGACTGGGCAGCCATGAGAGCCAAGCACCGGAAAGACGACCTGTCTGATTCTAGTGTGAATTCAGTGATCAAACCTGATGTTCCTTCCCAGTGTCGCAATGCCATAACACCAGCAGCATTTCAGATCCCTTAATCTCTCCAGGAGATCAAACCCCAGGTTCATGAAGATGATGATGATGACAAAGTTGAGAATGACCCAGGAATTAGAACAATGAACTGTATTAAGAAAGGCTGCAGTCCAGCAGGGACACCAGTCATTTTATGGGATATGATACAGTGCAAGGCGCAGCCACTGTTTTTCAGCCTCACCTGTCCTGCTTTTGGGCTTCCCAACAAGGCCTTTCAGGTTTGTCTCTTAGATTGGAGTGCCCCCTAGTGCCAGCTGGTTTGGGCTGCAATTACAACAGCCTCTAACCATTGGACAAGTTTGCCACAGCTTATAGAAGTTTGTTGCATTCAATAGCCCCCCCATGAAATACATCTTTAGCCATTTTATGATAACAATTAAAAACAAAATAATACAAATAAAATCACAGTAAAATCATCAGTTTAAAACTACCCAGTGTGCCCAAACACAATGTAAAATACAGTTTTAAAATACAATGTAAAATACATCAGTGGTCCCAATTTTCAAAAAGGGTAGTAGAAAGGACATGGGGAATTATAGACCGGTTAGCCTCACATCCATTGTAGGAAAAACAATGGAAAGGCTCATAATAGAGATCTAGTGATGCTAGATAGGGAAGGGAGGCTGACAGCCACACAACACAGCTTCCGCAAAAACAGGTCCTGCCAGACAAACCTTGTGGAATTTATGACAAGGTTTCGAGGTGGCTGGATGGAGGGGATGCAGTGGATGTGGTATACCTGGATTTCAGCAAGGCCTTTGACAAAGTGCCCCATTATATCCTGGTGGAGAAACTGAGGAGTTTTGGGATACACCAAAGCACTGTCCGGTGGATTAGGGCATGGTTGACTGACCGAAAGCAGAAGGTAACCATTAATGGGGAATCATCAGGATGGCGGCCAGTGACAAGCGGGGTCCCCCAGGGCTCTGTCCTGGGGCCGATCCTGTTTAATCTTTTCATTAACGACATGGAAGAAGGGGTGAACAGTCTGCTGATCAAATTCGCAAACGACACTAAAACTGGAGCAGTGGCCACAACTGAGGAAGTGGGCAGAAGACAACAGGATGGCGTTCAATGTGGAGAAGTTCAAGGTCTTGCACTTGGGGCACAGGAATAGCTGTCATAAGTACAGGTTAGGTGATAAGTGGCTGGAGAGCAGCACTTGTGAAAGGGACCTCGGGGTGCTGGTTGACTGCAGGCTAAACATGAGTCAGCCGTGTGATGCGGTGGTCAAGAGGGCAAACGCCACCTGTGGTTGCATAGCCAGAAGTGTGGCTTCTAGATCGAGAGAGGTATTACTACCACTATACAACTCTGGTGCGCCTGCAACTGGAGTATTGTGTTCAGTTTTAGGTCCCTCATTACAGAAAGGATATAGCCAGGTTGAAGTCAGTGCAGCGTAGGGCCACAAGGTTGGTGGCCGGTTTGCAGGGGATGGGGTATGAGGCGAGACTGGGGGAACTGGGTCTTTTCAGCCTGAAGAAGAGGAGACTCGGGGGGGATCTGTTGGCGACATACAGGTGTGTGAGGGGATGTCACACGGAGGTGGGCAGAGACCTGTTCTCCCCTGCAGAGGAAGGCAGAACGTGCTCCAACGGAGCAAAGCTCAGGGAGCTAAGGTTTCGTTTGGATGCCAGGAAGCACATCCTGACAGTCAGGACCCCGAGGGTGTAGAATGGGTTTCCACGGGAGGTCGTTGAGGCCTCATGGGTGAGGGTGTTCAAAGATAGGCTGGACATGCACATGGTGGGCATGTCGTGAGCGGAGCCGGCTGGTGCTGGAGCTCAGACTAGATGGCCTGGGAGGCCCTTTCTGACTCGCTCTGTTTTCTAGGTTTCTATGTTTCAGTTATCACACTGCAGGGGCAAAATAAATACAAGTATTACAAAAGAAGACAATTATACGCATGTATCAACAGCAAAAAGGGCTACTACTTCCAGCATTCCCCAGACAGCTATAATGATAAATAATTTCATTTTTTATACAAACCAATAACTAAAGTGCTGCAAGGAGTTTGCAACGGTTCCCAAGACAGGCAATACATTTGGACCATACAAATATCAAAAACAATTGAAAAACAGCATGAAATGGCAACATTTGAAACAGTATATGGAACAATTTGCACAACTAAGGGTCCAATCCCCTGCAAGTTTAGACAAAGGGAGAAATGGCTACCAAATGTCCTCTTTAAACTTGCATAGGATTGTACCTTCAAACAAGTTTGAAACAGTTGGGACCTTACAAGAAAAAGTAGCTGAAATAGACCCTTCATATGCCATCAAAGCCAATGATTTGGATATCTGCTTATTTGTGTGCCATTTTCTCAGCCATCAGTGGCGCAAAATGTGCGTGTTGTTTTTTTTTTTGTACTTTCCTACAATGACATGAAGGAACGTTGCCTCCTCTTGTAAACTGCTGTTGGCTTATATACATCAAAATCTGACACACTTGCAGAACAAACTGACGCAAGGAACACTGCTGGTTTTAAAAAAGGAACACTCCAATGTGGTACCTTATGTGGAGCGAAGGGCTTCAGGGAAAGAAAAGATGGCGTTAGAACATGTTCCCCACAGAAGCTTCTGAGTTAATTCTTTTGTGTTTTGTTTTTAGTTTAAAGATAATTTAAGCTTTAAACAATGGGGATCTTAGAGCACCTGGGCAATTGTCTTGGCTCTGCCATATGTACTGTTAGCATCACCCCAAGCCCGCCAGTAAGTCAGTTACCTGGAAAAAATACCAAGCGGGCAAATACTCTGCCTGCTGCCACAGCACGTGCGCTCCGTGCGACCGTCTTGGCAGCTCTCGGGCATCGTGTGCAACCAGCCCCTTTCGCTCAGAAAATAAATAATGGTATCAGAACTATTCGCCTAAACATGCCCAGGAAAGCTGCAAAAGCAGCAGTCGCTCCCACATGCCCCCCTCTGATTCGTCGCTCCTCTCCTCTCCTCGTCAACCTTGTGCCAATCAAGTAGCCATTTTGTGCTGGGACCTTCATCGCAACCTTTTGACCTGCCCTGCAATTCCACAAAATGTTCTGATGCTTTTACTTCTCTTTTATATTGTAGTTTTAAATATTTACATATTCCTGTTTTATACTGCATTTTTAAATGGTTGTGAACTGCCTAGAGAGCTTCAGCTACTAGATGGCATAAAGATGTAATGAATAACCAACCGTTGCATCAAAAATGCCTTCCTTATTGCCCTCCCGTACCCTTTCTTAACCTGAAGTAAAATTTCATTCTGTTGACCCCTGTGAGAGCCAAGAGCTTCCTCCCTCTGCAACAACCATGCCCGTGGCCACCATTTTAGGCTCAGCTCAAGCTAAAAGCTGAGCATGCACACTCTCTGACAGCGACAAGAGGCTGCTAGGAATAATTATTCTTAAATGTTAAAAAGCAAATGATAATGGATAAACCTCACCAGGGGGTTGCAAGGCATGTGGGCAGCATGAATTTCATCCCCACAGAAGGTGGCCATATATAAATTACCCCAAACAGAGGAAAGACACCAACAAAAGATTGAGAGGTCGAGAGGGAGGGTGTGTCACGCTGCTTACCTGTAAGGCATATAGGTGAACCTCCCTTGCAGGGTGGCTGGACAGACACGCCCGTTTCACACATCCTAAGCTTCCCAGGATTTCCTGCGGGGTTGAGGGACACCCCTGATTCACACTGATCACTGAGTGCTGGCTAAATTCCTCTGGCTATTTGCAAGCTCAGTTCATTGCATCCCAAAAGGTCTCCAAGAAGTTTAGAAAGGTCTAGTGAGCCCATCCATGACCATTCCAAAACTCAATTGATTTTAATGACGTGTGGGGAAATTAACAGAATCCAGATGATTTCTATGGACATTCAGAAAAGCAGATGCTGTACCCAGCAATCATCAAACAATTTTGAACTATTTTTTAGCCACTCTTTTTAGCAACTGCTTCAGCTTTTGGGAGGTATAGTAAATAAATAAATATTTGATTAAAGGGAGGGCAGAATTTAACCCATCTCAGTGCAGGGCTGTGTGCTTTTTTCCTTCAGGCTTGACATTC